CTATTTAACTTGCCTTGGCCTGTCCTTCTGCCACTTTTGAAATGCAGTGGCACTCGGCTGTTAGGAATGTCACGTCCGATTCGACCAACTTAATTCCTTTGTGGACAGGAGGATGCACTTGTGCACTGGGCGCATGCCAAGAAGACACAAATACGCAGGCGAACCCAAAGAAACAAAAACACCGAGACCCAAAACACGAATTATTGAAATTCAAGCCACCTACACGAGCGAGAGACGCGCCAAAACAAACCTAAAAACCATAAAAAAAAAAAAAAAAAAAAACAACAGGCAAAGCGAAAAGATTTTGCATATTTTCACCTTTTAAACGGTGGTGTGTGTTACTGCTGGTGCTTTTGGCCAACTCCCGGTATTTAGGCCACAACTGAGGCACTGGCTCTGGCCAAATTAGCACTTGCGGCCCGGCTGAAATGTTAAATGTGTTAAGGCGAATTAGAAATCTCGATCGCACCTGAACATGAAATGCAAACGATAAACAGCAACAACAACCACAACGTCGAATGGCGAATGGCCAAAACAAAAACGAAACGAATTCCATTCGGAACACACAATCCACAGAGGATTGGGATACTCGAAGACAGTGAAGCTTCCTTAACAGAAACCAGGAACGAAAACATAAAATATAATAAAGGCTTTGAGTTCGATTAACTATCCAACCTAAACTTCAAGTTAAATTAAGTTCACTTTATATATTTTTGAAAAGTTTTCAAGGCATGTAATCTGTATAATCTGGGAAGATGCATTTATGGAAGTCCGACTGTATACGCTCTTTTTCATTACTACTTTTTACCGCTGCCGAGGTGCAAATTAATTGGGGCTACTCGATTCGCTTCGTTTTGGTTTCGTTTCAGCTGCGTTTTTTCGCATTGTTTTTTTCATTGTCTGGCGTTTTTCGCTCATTTTTCTTCAATCGATTCTCCAATTATGGCAATTAGCCAACAATTTCGCTTTGCATGTGCATCAACATCAACATCCACACAGACGAAGAGGGAAAAGGCCCAGCCCAAAAATCGGTTTTGGTTTCGGTTTCGATTTCAGCCGTATCGAATATCCCATCTGAATTCAACATTTATCGCTTGGCTGCATTTGAACTTTTTCAACTAATTTTAAGCCACTTTAGGGGGAGGGCGAGGGGAGAGGTATTGAACCCCCAAGTGGGTCTATTTATCCACTGGGTATGCACGAAAATAGGGAGTTTGAGCCAAGGTCTACTCTTTATGTGTTGCAATAAGCAATAATAAGCAATAACAATCAATATATTCAAGTTCGTTGTCCAACTCTGCCTCGACACTTAGAAAACCTTTACCAATACTCACACAAAAACTGCTAATCACTACTAAATTAAATTTTAAAATCATTACACGTTTATCAACACTTTATATAAGGCAGCTAAGCCTGAACTAAAACCTTCTTCGTTGGATGAAATTCACGATGCCCGAGAAAATGACTCAATTTATCCACATTTGAGAGTCTTCCCCTCCGTGAATCAGCTTAAATCATTAATCAAGCGACCCGAGCTTAAAACACACTGCATTCATAATCACAGCAACGCTGCGTATACGTAATGTCTGGGTGCTGGGGGATATATATCTGGCTTACTCGGCTGTATGGCCAAAGTGCCAGTGCCTAGCTCATGGATATCGATACCATGCCATTGGGATGCCTGTCTGGCTGCCGACTGGCTGACATATTTGGGTTGAATGTTAACAGAAAAAACAAAACAACAGAGGAAAACCGAAAACAAATGCCAGGCAAACAAATGAGAAAACCAACTCAAAACTCGCTTATGAATGCCTGACCACAGCAAAATCGGCAAATGTCGCAATTAACATATTTGCTATGTGTGCAAGTACAAAATGCACATACATATGTATGTATTATATACATATATAATATATGTTGGCATGCGAGGGGGCAATATCAAATCGGGAGTTTGGTGGAGAACAATGGGATTCTGGAGAGAATTTGGCGCGGGTAAAGAACACTAGAATCTGTGCCTCTTCCCCTGTGAAAACCCCCTTTAACCCGCAACACGTACGCCCCTGGCTTTTCGTATTCACCTGACATTGTCGACAAACGCGACCTGAAGTGTGAGTAAGGCATGTATCGTGGCCCGGACAAAAAACAAAAGCGTTTGTTCGAGCGATTAGCCCAACCCTGAACAGATTTTGGACCAACCCCTCGAAAGTTGAAAACAGTATGAAAAAATGTTCAGTCATTTGTGAGTGGAGTGGTTATGATAGAATTACAGCTTCGCATCGAAGTAATTGAACAATGTGATGGTTATTTTATAAGGAATACAGTACACCAAATAGCTAACATCTAAAAAGATTTAGCCCGAGTATGCACTCTGCGATATGTATTATGTATTCAGCAGCCAACAATCTTCCGTCTTTGTGCGCCACCTCACTCACAACAAAGATTTGTTTTATGTGACATTTCAATTAGCGCAGTGTCAAGACCTGACATCAGCATAAACACTTTTTTTAACCAAAGCATTGAAGGTTTTCGTTTTTCTAGCCCCCCTAAAAATTTTGCATACCAGGTTTTCGGAAATTGCTAAAAAATATGGACAACTTTTTGAAATTTTTAGCCAGAGAAAAATGGTTTTTAATTCAACACATTTTATTCGTTTTCGCAGTCTCCTAAATATGTTAAATACCAGGCTTTTCAAAATGAAAAAATGGTGAATTTGTAATTTATATTTTTTTTGTATCGATAAAAACTCCACAAAGCAAATAGCGGAATAATTGCATCGACTTGGAGCGAGTAAGTCGAGCCAACTTCAATACTGACACATTCAACCCGCGACTAATGACGCACTTGGCTTGGTTCAGTGCCTGATGATTGGCTCGATTGAATTATTGCTGAATTGGCCAATTGATGCTAGTCAAAGACCCGCACCTTGCGTTCAATTTGGGTCAACTCCAAGCTCAGAGCTTCAAGATCCATTAGAACTGTCCGGCAGTTGACATAACCACTTGCGCAACTTGAGAGCCACCAAGGCGACTCCGCAAGCGGTTCGCATTCTGTCGATGCAACCAGTTGCCATCTTGGCCAACGATGCAGTCATTCCGATTGCCAAGACAACAAAAGACAAACAAAATGGGAAATTTGTTTTGGGAAACCAAAACCAAAAAGTTGAAAAGCTGGACATAAAAAACACATACATGCACTCAAGTTCGAATCAATATTTAGGTGCAATTTCTTCTCAGGCTTTCCTCCGGTTTTCACCTATCGTTTGGTTGCCATCATGCATTTGCCTGTTCCGCCGTTTGTTTGTCTAATTATGCAACCGTCGGCGGATGCACTGCCGCTGCATTTGTGGTTTGACCAAAAGCGATTCCGATTCCGATTCCGTTTACCCCGCCCCACGAATTCCGAGCCCAAAACCGCAGTGCAGCTGGCAAATATGGCAAACCCATTTCCGCGTGTCAACAAACTTCTTCGCCGGCTTTGCACATCAGTGAAATTTTAAAGAGCAGGGTGGCGCAATAAGGGGAAGCCACCGGAACCTGGAAAGTGTCCGCTCGAGTAACTGCACCCACAGTGGATGCACCGGAAAAACATTCACATAGATTTCTTTAAAGGCACACAAACAAAACAGTCTTTTAGTATTATTTCCATCAATTATATTTACTTACTTGCTTCAGTAAACATCTGATGGAGAAAAATTGAATACGAACAGAATATGAGTCAGCTAATTTTAGCTGATAAGAGGATCACCTCACATATTCCTCCGATGGATGATAAATACACACAGTTATCAGTAACATAACAAAACCGAAATCGAACTTGTTTTTCGCTCTGTGCTCTGAAGAAGACGAGGCATAGATCACGGCTTACTCCAGCTTTCAAACTGCAGTTGGTTGGGTTCCAACTTTTACTTTGGTATATCCTCCCCTTCCAAATGGCCAATCCCCAGTCCCCAACTCGAGTACCATACCCATACCCATCGCCATCCCCCTGCTCCACACGTCCAGTGAAAAGGCGAGAAGCACGTAGACATAATTTATTGCCAAATGCATGGAAGACTCACAGTGGACACGCCTCGCTGGCCACGTTCGTGTGTCGTGTCCATGGATCCGCAGATACTTGGACGGCGATGGCGATGGCTATCTAACTGCCGTTCCCCCCTCTTGGAACTTTTTCGATTTCTTCGAGGGCCCCGGTGTAAATTGTTCGAAACTCGTCGAAAAATGTGCAATAATTAAAACGTATTAAATAGAAAGAAAGAAATGAGTGCAAGGCAAGCGTAAAGTTGTTACTCGATGCGTTGGCAGCCTAACGACTCTTAATTAAAGTGAAAATGCCAACAGATCGACATGGATACGGCAATGGATATATCCACTCTTTAGATATATCAACGCCATCCATTGCGAAGTGCAGTGTCTGGTTACCCAACGAGCAAGGGTGATGAAACCGCCTTTTGGGCGAGAGTGTCCATTTCTGGGCAGATACAACAGGCACTTTCTCAAGAAATGGGCTTAGATATTAATAACAGACATGGTATTATATCATGCGCCACTTTTTTTAATGAAAAGATTTTCCACTCGAGCGAGCATCCTTTTGCAACAATATCCTACACTATATATTCCCTTTTTTGTTGTAGACAGAAAGATTAGAAACATATGCGAGTATGGAAAGTCGAGAACACAAATTCCAGGCAAAGTGGCAGGCGCTAATTATAATTAAATTCAATTTTCGGTTTTTGCTATTTTCCTATTTCATCAGCGAAGTCAACGGGCAAATAAAAAACGCTTTTGTCCCGAGATGTCAATTGATTTTTGGTTGACAACCTAATTTGTGGCAAACCAAAGGAAAGCTAAGAGATTATCTACTTTTTATGAGAAGTACACACAATTTGTCTCCTGTTAAGTGGGATTCGTCTGAATAAAACCTAACTTTTTTGTGACGCTTTATCAAATTTCTTAATTTTTAATTTGCTCACCTGGAATATCCTTGTTTCTCTCCCATTACAGCGATGTCATAATGGAGCCAATGACCATGCTGGTTTTGGCCTTCCAGCTGTTGGCGCTCTTCTCGATCGCCGGCGCGCTGCTCATCTACCTAATCTGCAAGGTGCGCGAGGATAGCGCCTCGGCCAGTGCGGAGTCGCAGCCGAGTCGCGTGGTGTTGGTCACCAGTGCGGATACGGCGCTGGGCCTCCAGCTGTGCACCCACCTGGCGAACAAGGGATGCCGGGTGTTTGCCGGCATGAAGGAGGCCCACGACTCGCTGCCCGCCAAGCTCCTCAGCGGCTGGATGAAGATCCGGGAGTACAGCGAGGAGCCGATTGCGGGCACCATCATCCCCATGCGGCTGGACGTCACGCGGGAGGATGTTTTGCGCGAGGCAACCGTCGCCATGGGCGCCCACCTGAATGCCGATGAGCGCGGCATTGCGGCCGTGATCAACACCAGTGGCAGTGTCTTCCGCGGAAAGGTCGAGTCGCAGGACGTGCAGCAGTGGGAGCACATGCTCAAGACCAACATCCTGGGCACGCTGCGTGTGGCCAAGGCATTCGTGGGCTTTCTGCGTCCGACGCGCGGCCGACTCCTGTACTTGGGCGGTGGCGGCGGAAGTGGAGCTGCTAGAACCGGCGGCGATGGACTGGTCGCCTTCAACGCCTCCCGCGTGGCCGTGGACAAGTGCGCCGAGGAGCTGCGCAAGGAGCTGCAGCCGTACGGCGTCAGCGTGGTGGCCCTGGACACCTGCGGCATGACGGCGGAGTCGTTGTACAAGGCGCCAGTGGCACAGAGTAAGTTTTTCTTGGCCACACTTGATACCGTGAAACCTTGAAACTTGGTTATCCCATTTGTTCTTTGTTCGCAACAGCAATGTCCTCCACCGCCGGAGCTCCCACGCAGTATACGGCGGACGTTCTCAGTCCGGGCGCCCTCCAAGTGATCGAGCGGGCGCTGTGGGACTTTGCCCCGCAGCAGCGCTATCCGCTCCTGAGCCACAACAAGTACCAATTCACGTTGCCATGCCGCTCCTCGCTGCGTCTCCAAAGGCCGGTAGCTCCGTCCCCTGGCGAGTCCGCCACACAATCGGTCTGAAGCCGCCTCCTTCCGCTTCCTGTATATAAACTCCTCATCCCGATACCGATCCCGTTTCTTGGCCTCACTCCACGCCTGCTCCTGCTCCCTGCTCCCTGCTTCATGTGCTCTGCTTTAACCTATCTGCAAATTATTTTTGTTTGATGATATTTCTTCCTTTAGGGAAGGCCTTTATAATATTTACTTTATACTCGTTTTTGTACACACTGCAATGGTGTAATTGATGGACATCATACGTAATGATATGATATATGAAAAATAAATCTTTGTGCTAATCTACGAAGGCGTATTGTCTTGTCTTTCTAACATTCGATGGGTTTGGGGGTTCATTAGCCAGGTTTCTCTATTCGTACTTGGAAATGAAGTCGTAGCGCAGCACGGAAGCCGGAAAAACTTCGCCAGCTTCGGCCACTTTCCGTTCAGAAGTCTGTCCTGGCAGATTGACCAAAACATCGGCACCCACTATGCTTTGCAAGCGGCTGCTGATCTGCAATTAACACAGGAGAAAAATATAAAACAAATGGGGTATGTAAAAGGTAATGGTCTTACCTGATCTCCAGTGAAACTGGCGAACAGCTCTCCAGACTTGGAAATCACTGAGGCACGAACATACTCGGGACGGGCATCCAAACTTATGGAACTGAGCAACTGCAAGAAAATAAAGAGACAATCAATCATGTATAAAACAGGCTTTACGAACGCTTTATCATAATTTTTAAACAAAGTCTTTTTAGACCTTTAACAAACATTTCTCAAGTGGAACCATTAAATATAATCACTAACTTCAAAGATAAATGCCGCTTATTTAAATAGAGTGTACAAGCTTCCGCGTTTACCCAGGCGCCCTGTAATTTAGGTGACTTAACAAACTATTTGTTATCGCCTTTGAAAAGTAAACAAACAGATAACGAGACACTCGAAAGCAAAAGTGTCAACTAAATTGCGCGAACTGCGTCAGAAGCGACGACCTACAGCAATTCATGTTCTGGAATTCTCTGATTGATTGCTCGCCGGGTGATAAGCTCATCAATCATACTAGTCTGTCGCCACTCACGATTTCGCAATATGGTTAAACTGGGGCACCCACCTTCACATTGATCACGGGCAACGAACACTTTTGGCGATCCCAGCCGGCTGCCCAGCGGATGGCGGGCAGGGCAAAGAGATGGAACGTGACGAAGGCGGACACGGGATTGCCGGGCAGCCCGAAGAAGTACTTATCATTGCGGCTGGCAAAGGTCATGGGTTTCCTGGGGATGCAAGATAAAAAACAATACAATTTATGGAATGGCTTTTGCAAGGTTAAATATCCTACCCTGGCTTCATGTTCACCCTGCCGCAATGAAGAGTGAACTGAAGGTCCTTCAGCACGGGCTTCACGAAATCCTTGTCGCCCATTGAGACGCCACCGGTACAAATAACAAAATCCACGACCTCGAATAGATCTGATAGCGATTCCCTTGTGTGTTCGAAACTGACAAAGAAGAAAATTACTATAAGCAAATGGATTATCTAGTAGACAGATCGCTTACCTATCGCTCAGCACACTTGTGTTCATGCAATCAAAGCCAAAATAGACCAGTAGTTCCGCCAACATAGTAGTATTCGAGTCATAGATCTTACCTAGAGCAGGATTAGCCCTCGGGGAAAGCAGCTCACTGCCCGTAGACACTATAGCCACCTTGGGCTTGGGTACGGCCAATCGATTTCCCACGGAGGCCAGCAGAGATTTCACCACAACTGGCGAGGGATCTGGAACAGGAAAGATGCGATCCTTGGTGCTCAGATCGCAACCCACATCTCTGTGAAGAAAAAAACTTTAGTTGGTTTCCCTGCGGGTTTTGCGTGTACCTACCGTACATCCAATCCAGCTATTGGCTGCACCAATATGTCGACCAGGCTTTCTTGGCCGAGCTTGTCACGCTGCAGTAGCTCGGTGTCCTCCACCTGCACCACACAATCCGCCAGAAGCGGAAGAGGTGCACCTGTGTTTATTTTAAAGCACTCATCTTCCGCCAGCTGCGATGAACAGGGCTAAAATTCAAGAAAAAAAAATCTTTTTAATAGTAGGCTTTTAAATAATACACTTTAAATATATGATAGTATCTCTGATTTTAATGGGACTTACCGCATCTCCTGCGGCTATGCAGCCCAAAACTCGTTTTCTGCCCGAGAATCCGGTGGACTTCATGGCATAGCCATCCTTTATTGAAGCCCTGAAAGGCGGGATGTTCACAGGCGAGTTCAGCTGCCACAGGATCCCATCCAGATTGCTGGTCTGCTTAACCTTGTCGAAAATCATGGCGAGCACCTCCTGGACGGGCAGCATGGGAAAGGGTGAATTGCGATCGGAATCGTTTCCTTTCCCCGTTTTGTGTGGGCAAACGTGACCCTTTGGCGCGGATCCTTGAACCTCCGCATGCGTGCTGCGCACCAGGGCAACCTCGTCGGCTATGAGGTTTACAGCATGCGGCAGTAGAGATTTTACGGTCTCAAAACACTCGGTTACGGCCTTTTCGCTGCCGGGAAAGTTAAGGATCAGGGTTTTTCCGGCAATGCCGCACAGTCCACGCGAAAGAGCCGCAAATTTTGTCTTTTTTAGGGACTCCAATGCAATAGCTAGTGTCAACTGGGGACACTCTTTGTCCAGCAAAGATTTTGTGGCCTCTGGGGTCACATCCCGAGGAGCAAACCCCGTGCCGCCAGTGGTTAGAATCACTCGCAGCTGATCAAGATCGATCCACTGGCGCAGCTGCCTCTGAATCAGCTCCTTTTCGTCCGGAACAATACTCGTGATAATCTTGGCATTGGTAAAGGACTCGCCCACCAATTGCCTTAACTTGGGACCACTTTTATCTTTCGCCGGCTCCTTGTGACAAGTGTCACTAACTGAAATGCACCAACAACAGGTTAAGGACAGGTTTCTGGGAGGTTTAAGTACACTAACCGGTAAGAACTCCAAAAATAATCGACTCCATTACGTCATTCGCAGCGGTTTCAACTGCTCTGAGCGAAGAATCCCAATTAAATTATTAAATTCAACACATAAATTAGCACGCAAACTTTTCCGCTTGCTTTTATATTTATCGATAACTCAATATCGAAATCTAGTGTGTACACACTGAATTCGCCGGTAAAGCTTTAACCCTTCATTGGGCCTGCTAATTTTTAATATACAACTACATTATTGGGTCCGGAACAAGGTTAATATAAATGTGCACAGTGCAAATATAAATAACTATTCCTCTCACTTTAATACTTTCACAAAAGTAAAGTTTTCGGCAAACCTTTAACAAAAAGAGACTGCATTTGTAGTCATATAGCTAGATGGGTTATTTATTTACACTACCCTACAACAGTACAAAACCACGGATGCTTGCTAGCCAGAGGATGCTTTTCCAGGCAATCCTTGGCCCTCCTTTGCAGAATTAGAACCAGAATCACTTGGCCTGCTTGTCGGTTTTTGCGCGTTCGTCTAGGGGATCGTAACCGCTGGCCATTTTCTCTTTGAACTGCTCGTAGGTGCGCTTGCGGTCAAAATGCTTGACCCATTGTCCAGGACAAGATTGCTCAAATAACTTGCGGAGATTTTGGCAGGCAGATGGGACCTTTTCGCCGCTGGTGGAGCTATGTTTCGGGGCATGCTCATCCAGACACTTCCAATACTCGTCCCGATTGCTCCAACATTTGGTGCGCTCCGCTTTGTCCGGAAAGCTCATCTTCTTTTATTTTTTGGCAGTGACTTCAAGATGGTTTTGCCTAGCCGGTTTTCAGGTTTCCCAGGAACTTTTTTCAGACAATTTTTCCGCTGTCAGTATGCTTCTGACAAATTTCTCGGTTCAGGTACCAATTCTCCAGCTTTCGGAATAGTTTTTATATAAAAAATAAATTAAATTAGTTCAGTTTAATGAAAGAGCTGGAGAACAAGAAAACCAACCTCAAATATTACAAAACAAAAAAACAGCTGTTAATTTCGATTTCGATAGGCAACAACAAAGCTGCGAGAAACGTGGCAACACTGATTATTGAGGCGCCTAAACTTAAAACGTATTTGTTTTTAAATTCGATACGAATGATGATATATGTATTTTTTGCTAATATTTGCATTGTTTTTGAGCCCCTGAACCTTAGAAATTGAATAGACATTGTTTTGCACACTGATGATATTTTGTTTATTGATCGCACCACTTATGCAGTTCGTTATTTCCATTTATTTGATTGATTTAATATCTTATGGCTAAACGTTAACGTGATTGCAAACGAAATGTGCCTCTCCCACGGAGGTAGACTTTCAATTTTCCAATTAATCAGAAAATGTTGAATAAAACAACGCAGGAAATGCCTTGGCAAAATATAAAAAAAAGAGAACCGAAGCAAACAAAACAAATAAGATGAGACAGCAGCTTCTGCTGCCTACGATAACAATTAAAATTAAAACATACGTGATTTGTGAGTTTATGCTATAATTTCTAAGTGTGATCCGGGTGCAACAAACCCGGGGACATCGAAACCGTACATGTTCCATATAACCGTATTCATTATAAATGTTTTCTTATCGTAGGTACACAATACGTATAGAAATGCCAGTACAAAATGTCGCGGGAGGGACGTCTTATATGTCATTTGACCCTTGACCTTGTGGCAGGGGAGAGGGGGTGAATGTGTGGCGGGAGGAGAAGGAGTAACCTACATCTTAAACTACATACTCCTATATTGTCGTTACAAACATTTACAGCTTATACCTATAGACGCAAAACGCTCATCAAAGTTAATAGCCCGATATCCAAGTCTATATAGCACATTCAGGGGATCGTTAGACGTGGGGGATATGCTACGAGAGTTGGGGTTCTAATGTATATATATATGATATTGAAATCGAATATCTCCCACGTTAAGTAAACCGCAGTCCGTTCGCTTAAATTCTCTGTCGACTATCAACGGGTCATGCCTCAAAATGCAATGCATTTGTGATCTTGGTCGAGTGATAGTTGGATAGATAGTTCCTGTATTATAAACCTTGTTGGTCTGAAGCCAATATCGAGGAGCGGGGGTTCCCTAGTAGGCGTGCGAATCGGGGTATTATTCTCTTTGAGGCACTTGTGGCTTGGCTAACTTTTGCTTGGCAAACTGAAAAAACCTAATACGAATTGTGCATTAATGCTTCTAATTTCTGGTTGGGTTAAGAGGGCAGGGTGGATTCCAGCTGGGTGTATGTGTGTGTGCGGGAGGGCTAAATACAAAACTTTTTTTATGTTAACAACTATCAGTACTTTACCCTGCACAATGACGCATTTGTTAAATATATTATACATGGTCGTATAGACATTGTTTCCTTTAGCTTATCTGCCAAGTGTAAATCTACAATAAGTGATTGATATCAAAAAACTTTTTTTCTCTCGGTTTATTGTTATATTGCCCAGTACAGTGCATTTCGACGACACTTAAATTGTGTTTCTTTTCCAAAAAAAAAAATAAAAGCAAACCTACATTAATAATGATAAAAATAGTGTGTTAAGCTTTGATCCTATTAAAAACCTTTTTAACTAATTTTTCGAACATGCTAATACAACTATTAAACACTGCAGCAGCTAGACAATTCCCATAGAACGTGTTTTTCGGCTCTCTTTTCTTTTTTAAACTCTCTGTCTCCCTCATTCTTATGACTAGATGCACTTTTCTTGCCATTATGTATATATATATATATATATGTATATATCTTCGTTCACCCATTTAACTCAAATAATTATAAGTGAATCCATTTACAATTCGCGAGCACACACACACACCCAAAACATTGGAAGGTAATTGTTTGCCCTTCTAATGGTTTAGTTTCTCGTTTAACACATAAAAATAATGGGCGATTACGGGTAGCGATAAAAATATTAATAATAAGGGGTAAACAAATGAATAAAATTCAAACAAAAATTAAAAATAAACAAGCACTAACTTTAGACGTAAAAATAGACAAAAAATTTGTAAACCATGAAACATTTGGCAGTCGAAGTAGAAGACCCTGTTTGGGCTTCAAATTCGATTCATCATGCATACTATATATACTCTATATATGGCGATAGTTCCTGCAGGTGCTGTGATGTCAGATGTCTGATGTATGTGGCTTCTTGGTGGGGATTTTGTTTTGTCGACTGTGGAGTTTGGAATCATTTCGAGTTGAGGTCGTGGTGGTGGCCTACGTCTGCTTCGGCTCCTCCGAGGCTGGGCGCGCTTCCGTTTCCGGTTCCGCTGCAGTCGCTGCATCCGTAGGCGAGGCATTTGTGCTTGAGGATTGGGAGGCGTACTTGCAGGAGGCCGTCTGACAACGACAGCCCACACTGGAGCGGCGGTCCACGCGCCAAAACTTCTCCCCGTAGTCGTAGCTAAAAGGAACGAATTGGTCAACAAATCGGAATGGCAATTATTCCTACATCTTCATTATTCCCCTAGACTTCTTAATTGGTTCCTCAAAACAAAAAAATGATTGCCAATTATATCAATAATTTCTTAATTAATATGCCAATGTCTGCGTATCATATAAAAATTCCTCAGTTCCGGATCACCAATAGTAATTAGTAATTAACGCCTATACCAACAAAGTTGTACAAATTTTGGGATTTTGTACAATTTAATCATTTGTTTAACTAATATTTAGCATTTTTGGTTTACTTAGTAAGTGACTCACTTGATAGTTATTTTCAAACTTACCAGATCTCCTCGCCGGCATCAATGTCGCGGCAGGCGAAAAACGCGATTTTGGGGAACCTGTAGTCCTGGTGCTCGTAGAAAACGCGAACTGGCAAAATATTTGGCTCACACGAGTGGTTAAAGAAGCGGGTTACGTTGCCGTAGTAATTGGCATCGATGCAGTGCCCGTTGTCCAGATCAAAGTAGTAGCTGTCGTCGGTGCGCCTATCGGCTTCCAAGGCAGTGAGAATCTCGCCCGTGTAGCTGGCCACGAAAGTGCCCTTGGGCACGTTGGCCAGTGCTCGAACGCCCCAGCCCTTCGCCTGCTCCTCGCACTCCATAATCTGCAGTGGTGTCCGGGTGCCGTTCTGCACCACGCGGTTCTTGCAGGAGAGCTGTGTTGAAAATGGTTTAAGTACATTTTCAATATTTTCTATTGTACAAAACATTCGACTTTCACCTGATTGCAGCCGCAGACGTCATTACACTCAAAGATCACCGCCGGATCCTCGTAGTTGAAGTCGGCGGTGAGGCGACTCTCGGCGGTGTACCAATTCTGCGAGGAGGCCCCGTTGCACTGGCAGCGATCACTGCTGCAGCTGTCCGGGCAGGAGCAGATGCGCATCTGCGAGACCCGCCGATCGATCTGCACCGAGTTCTGCTGGATGATGCACTGGGTCACGTAACGAAAGTGCGGCCACATGAGCGAGTCGGCCTCGTCCTCGCTCTCGGACATGGCCAGCTCGTTGCGCACCGCCTGAATGGGTCGTGCCTCGCGTCCGTTAGAGGCATCGGCACAAACGACAAGGGTGCGCAGGCCCAGCGGCCGAAAGCTGCGCATCTGCATGTTGAAGCCCACGGTGCGACCGCACTCGGACTCCTCGTTCGGTATGCAATCGAAGGGCAGCTGCTCCGCCTTGTTCTTGATCATCAGGTCGGCTCCATTGGCAATCAGAGCGATGCACATTCGTGTTCCCGAATGTCGGCAGGCAATGTGACTAGAGGATAGTGTTCTCCCTTGGTTAACCCTTGTTTAATGGCCAATGAATTTTCGAATACTCACAGTGGCGTGTCGCCCTCCACATTCTGCACATTGCAATCCGCTCCAGCCTGCAACAGCACCGTAATAGTGTCCAGGCCATCGTTGTGCAGCGTCGACCAGTGCAGCACTGTGTTGTTGTCATTGTCGCAGATGTTTGGGTCGGCCTCTTGGTTGAGCAGGAAGCTAAGAAAATCCAGGGTGTTAAACTACATTCAAGTATGTATAACTTGACATGTGAGCCTACCTAACGATGTCCGTGTGTCCCAGTTCCGCTGCCCAGACCATGGCCGTCCAACCGCCCTCATCCTGGGCATCGATAAAGCTCAAAAAGCTGGTTATATTCCGTGAGGCCCGGTAGCTCTCCACAATCAACTGGGTGGCCTCGACGTTGCCCAGCTTGGCCGCAATGTGCAGACACGTCTTGCCATCGGGACCCTGGTTGCAAAATATAGTTTAGTTACAGATCCTTTCGAGCTGGAGGGAACAATCACCTTAATGGCCACATCAGCGCCACATTGTAGGAAGAGATTTAGCATGTCGCACTTCTCGTTCATCACAGCACACATCAATGCCGTTCGCAGCTCGCTGTCCACAATGTTGACGAAGTCCTGCGAAATGGCTCCCTTGCAGAGCAGCAGATAGGCCATCTGGAGGGTGCCCTGGTGGGCCACCAGATGCAGGCAGGTGCCATTCAGGTACTCCCGAATGGGGGTCAGCACATTGAAGTCGGAAGCTGGCAAAGAATCGTAGCCATTAGAATAGGAATAAGAATACATATGTATATGTAGTGCGGATAGCTCACCCAAAATCTCCGCCACCCGCTCCAGATCGTCATTCTGCACCGCATAGTACATGTCCCGCGAGGTGAACTCCGTGGTCACGCGTCCACTGGCCGAAACCACATGGCCACGCAGCACCACGTTCATCACGGAGTCGGGTATCAACTGCGCAAAGTTGATCGTGTTGAGGGCCTGGCCGGAGTTTGAATTGGACCTGCCACCCGCCTTGCCCCTCGGGGTTCCATTCGACTTGGCAGCTGACGAGGAGGAGGCTGTTCCCGAGGCCACGGTGGCCGAAGATGTCCCCTTGCTCTTTGCCTTGGCTCCTGGACTGCTGGCCTTCCCGGCCGCTCCAAACTGGGTTAGGTGCGAGGCGGTGGTCAACTTGGCGGGTTTGCTGTAGAAGTGGTAAATGGAATAAGTTAAGAATAGGCTGACTTGAGCCAAAAAGAATCTGCTTACATCTTGTACTTCTGAGTGGGCAAAAAGACGGGCAGCGATTGGCACTTCATGGTCACCGTGGATGTGCGCTCCGGCGTGTCCAGGCCGCAGTGTGGGCACTTCAGAACCAGCATGGGACTGCTGAACTTGGCTGCCTGGTCCTCCCGATCGCCACGCCCTTCCTCGAACGGAGTGTTGAGTATGAAACGCTGGGCACAGTCCGGGTGGAAGAAGTGCTGCTGCTTGCACAGCACAAACTTTCCCTGAAAATAAGTCAATGATTATTATTCCTTTAAGACTCGACATGTTAATATCTCTCTCTTCGCACCTGGGTACAAAAGATGCCGCATCCGGCACAGCAGTTGTGGGAGTGCAAGCGCTTCTTGTGCTCGTCGCAGAGGATCATGTAGCTGACCCTCTGGCTGGGCCGCAGCAGATTGTGCACCTCCGAGGAGAGCTCGTTGCAGCAACCGATCTTCTGCTCGTCAATGTGATCGATGGCACAGCAGTAGGAGGAGTCCGGGGCGTTGCGCGCATAGTACTGTGAACCCTTCTGGCAGAGGCAAATAAACTTGGCGGTCTTCGAGGTGCTTGGCCGGGCGTCCAAGTCTCTGATGGGCGTTACCTCGGCCAGAATAGACGTGTTCAGCGAGTGCAGTTGTTCCGCATCCAGTGTGGAAATTGATCCAGCTGGTCCGGCTGCCACAGTTCCGCCTGCGCCGCCGCCTCCGACTCCTCTGACCCCCACTCTTCTCGTGTGTTTGGTCGGCTGCACTGCAACCGGATTCCGTGACAATTTCTGCTGAGCAGCAGCCGACGTGGTGGGTAGCTCCTTGGTCACCGTGTTCCTCACCCGCAGCGTAACACTGGGCTTACCCACCTGCACCCGCGTCGTGGGCACAAACTCATTGTCGGTATTCGAGCTATCGTTGTCCGATGCCTCCTCGCTGTGATTCCTCTGCAGCCCCAGATGCTTCAGGTGCTTCTCCTTCTGCTTGGCCAGTTTACGCTGCTGTTTCTTGTTCAGCTTGCGCTCCTCCGGCGAGCGATTTGCATTGATTCGCGACGCCTTTATGTCGCTGAGGAACTGCTCGACATCCGGACACGGACGCACCTTGCTCTTGGCCAGCATGGCCGCTCCGTAGTTTTCAATGTCGCGCTGCGACTTGGAAAAGAGCCGCTTCTTAATGGCACTCGTGCCAGCGGGGTGTCCTGGCATTCCATCGAAGTTGCTGCCATCGGACTTGTCGCTCTTCTGCCGGGTCGTTGAGGAATTGGAGACACCTCCTCCTCCGCCTGTTGGTGGTGTCTCAAAGTCCCCTTCTGCGGCTGCGGCAGCGGCCGACTCCCAGTGGGTCATTCGCTCAATTTGCTTCGTTTCGAACTCGCAGCGCAGCTCATCGTTTTCGAGAATCTTCGGCGTGGGCTTGATTCTCCTTTTCGGACGCTTCGGCAGCTGGAGTTCAGATCCTCCTCCTCCAGAGGGAGGGTTTGATTTCTTGCTGCCATTGGTGAGCGGTTGCCCCGAGGAGGAGGAGGTTCCGGGTTCAATTTTCGTGCCTGGTGGAATTTTCGCCTTTCGTCCACGCTTTTTGGGCGGTGTTTTCTCATCAAGAACGGCGGGTGGCATTGGCAACGAGGTGACCTCCAGGAGGGCGAGCTCCGCAGGCGGCTGATGGGCGGCTGGCTCCGACTTAACCTCATCCCAAGGGGCTCCATCGGCGATGGGCAATCTATTGCCCAGACGAACACTGCGACGCATCCGCTTCCCATCGCCCGAGGGAGCATCGCCCAGATCCTCCTGCTCGGTTTTCACCACCACCACAACGTCAGTGAGTGGCAGATGTTCCGTCTGTTCTTCCGGCAGCTTCCTCTTGCGACCCGGCTTCTTCTCCACCACCGAATCATCGCCCAGAGGCTGAGCCACTTCGCTGGAGTCCACCTCGGCGTCCGGTCGTACTTTCTTGGCACGACCCCTTCCACGCTTGGGAGCAGGAGCCGGGTTTTCGTCGGGCAACGATGTGGTCATCGGTGGCGTTTTCTCCGGCTCCTTCTTCACTTCCTGGCTAAGTGTGGCTGCAATCTCTTCCAGCTTTGGCACCTCCCGATGGCTGTGCTGATTCACTTGCTGCTCCGATGCCTCTGGCTCCGCCGTAATCTCCACCTGCACGCATTCATTACTGACTGGTGTGGGCGTGGCAGTGGGCGTAGGTGTGTCTGTGGGTCGCGGTGTCCTTCGCGAACGTCGCGTTCCTCCTGGCGACACTTGTTCCTGCAAAATACAGACACTCATTCAATTTGCGCACTCGTCAAATCCTCACGGTCTACTCATGTCTACTCAGAAAGGACCAGCCCTGATGGAATGCTTCGAACGGCTTCGTCGGTTGCCAAGACAACAGGTTCTACCAAACACACGAGGCCAGCTGGCCGAGAGGATGAATGAACAGAACGCTTTTTTCGGATGCACTGGGCGATGTTGAGGGGAGAATCCCACTAAGAGTACTCAGAACTGCGTATTTATTTATCTAGCTCATCCTGTTCTTCTTCTCAGGGAGTTTAAATATCAGCAAGAAATGGTGGTTTGTTTATCTGCTCAAGGCAAACGTAAATAATATTGGCGGAAAGAAAAACTATGCATTTTTTAAGATCTCTTTAGTCGCTCCAATGTCAGATAATTCAAGCCTGGTTTTTAGGATTTCTCTTTTAACATTAATTGTAATATTTTTTTTTAATGAATACAAAGTAATAAACCTAAAACTAATTACCTCTGTGGCCAAGCGTTGCAATAAATAAATCTTTCTTTAAATAAGAGATTTTTCTCTTTTGGTAGAACTTTTGTATAGTTAGATAAATCTTGTTTCTCAATTATCTTTTATGAGTCATAGCTAGCATATCATAAAACTATTTTATATCACAATATTGCAATTTTACAGTTCGACAAATGATGAACTTAATGGACGGACTTTTATAAAAAAAGGTATTTTATCTAGTATTGAGTTAAACGATAGCTTATTTTCTTCTGTCAGATAAGGATTGCAGAGAATAAGATAAGCATAGTATTAAGTCAAGATGGAAAACATGTTCGGGAAATTGAATAGGCGTATGTTAACTTGACTGTAAATCGTTTGTATAAATTAAAGCAAATCGTGAAGCTTAAAAGCTCTTCGTAGTTATATTTTTTACTGAGCACCGAAGCTTTTCCCTATGCGGCAATACAAATTAACAATGGCACATCTGTTGAACTGAAAATGTGACTTAAATAAAGGATAGATAAGGTAAAACTCGAGGTCAATAAAAAATCGGGGAAAGCCCTTTAACCCATGATGCCTTACAAATCCAAACAACTAAAAAAAAACAAGCACACTATACAAAACCATAGATAATTATTAAGTTAAAATTCAGCCGAAAGCCCCAGCAGCTATGGCTGTTTCCCCTTCCCTGTAGCCTAAGTTTTAACATATGCCTAAGTGTAAAATAAATAAATAAATAAGTTGAAATTAACTAAACTAGCTATATTTAAAATATCATTTAATTAGTATTTAAAAGGTTGAGACTTAAAAATAGTGGCTATTCAAAATAAACTCCAAATAACGCTGGACATTCAAGGGTTAAGAGTTTCTAAATTAAACAACAAAATTTAGGAATCACGAAGTTTTACACACACACACATGTTTATATATATTTACTTACATTTTTATCAGCTGCTGCCGCTGCGCCTGGCTCTGCCGGCGTCTCTGTCCGTAGCTCGCTGCTCACATACGAATTTGAATCTGTTGCGTCAGCAGCGACGTCGACGCTGGCAGAATGGACAACAAGTGGAGATGCTGCTGCTTCGATTGTTGTTTCTGTTGCCGTTGTTGTTGCCAATTCTGCATTTGCTTCCTGTTTTTCAGCTGCTAGTGGTGCTTCTTCTTTCTCTTGTTCCTGCGCTGCTGCTTCTTTTTTTGCTGCTCAGTCTTGATGCTTTCGTTTTGCCCGTTTTCTGCCGACGTCGCTGCCAGTGCACTTTTCTCAGCCTGCTCGCTGTTTTCCAGCTTTACCGTTATTGACTGCACTGTTCCTTTTTCCTGAACCTCCTTTTCCTCATTCTCTTCTGGTTCAACCAAGGCTTTTTCCCCGTCTTCTTTTTGCTGCTCCATTTCCTCGCTAGCTTCTTCTTCTTCTTTTGTTTTTTCAGTATTTTCTGCTATTTCTTCAGTTTTTTCAGCTGCATTCTGCGCTGCCTGCGTCGCTGCCTCGGCCGCTGCTTCTTCTTCCAATTTGACAGCAGCCGCATCGACAACATCCGCCAAAAGTCCTTTAATATCCTCGATTTCCTCATCATTCCTGGCCTCCTTCCGCTCCTCCTCCTTGTCCTTGTGCTTCTTGTCCTTGCAGGCGAACTGGTTGTTGGCTAAATTACGCCACTTGAGGGTTTTATCCTCCGCCAAATCCAAATTTAATAACGTACCGCCCTCCGCCGTTGAAGTAGCACAATCGTTATTAAATGTACTGGACATACTATTCAAAAGCTCATAGTCCGTCATCTTCACTGCTTTTTTTCACACTCGATTTCACTTGTATTATCACTTTTTTTTTTGTAGGACCCCTAAATTTGGGTGGAATTAATATTCCATGGTTAAACCCAAAGAAATCCCCATTAATTTTGGTTCTGGAATATACATACATATACATATATGTAATATTTTAAGTGATAAGATTGCTGCCTCAGTGGCAGAGCAGCAGCAGCGTTATTCGATTTAATTGTAACTATTTTGATAAAGATTTTTGATTTTTATTTGCTAAAAATAACTAGAGAAGTAATGGAAAACAAATTGAGCTCCCCAATCTTGCCCTTCTTCTTACTTCTCTGCTTCTTCTTCTCTCCACTTCTGCCAGCAACGACGTCGACTGCGCTTTTTGGTAGCCACAGTTAACTGTTTTTTCTCTCCTTATTTGTTTCTTCTGTTTTTTTCTTTGATGATCTAAAAACACGCGACGTCACTTTGTTAAATCATAAACTAAATTATTAACAATTTTCAGCACTTATTGGTTCAGTTTTTTTTTGACGGTCTTAAGAAGCAGAAAATGTTTGTAGAAATCGCTGCTTTGCTGATTAGCTCACATGCTGTCGAATATGAATATATTTCCCTCTCTCTTTCTCTCTTTACCACCTAAGATTGTTGTTGCTGCTCTGCCGACGTCGCTGTTGCTGCGTTTTTGTTGCTGCTGCTGCAGTCACTTTTGATTTTGGAATTTTCAGGCTGAAATAATTTTCAAGCCCATTTCTTTGGGCGAAACTCACTCGCGCCGGTTTCATTTATCTTTGGGTTTTGATTTTGGCGTAGCTCACAAGTTTTTGGAATTATTATTTTAAAAAAATATAAAGAAAAGCACACGCACACACACCTATGTGGAGGGGACGCACGCACACGCACGCACACACCGCGCTGAAAATTGTTATCCGCATAAAACAACAACAACACAACAACTAGAGCTGCAACTTAACTCGATGACTACCAGATACTATCGATGTTTACCGAAACGGCAGCAGTATTGCGTACTTTACACGGTTGATGGCCCTGCTAAAATGAATTTAGTGTGTGCTCACTGGCACAGGCGTTAGTGACTCTTCTTACAATTGCCCACAATTAATTGCAATAAAAAAAAACAATTGCTCGTTGTTATTATTTTTAGTTTTAGTAATAATAAAACTTTAATAAAAAACTCACTGCTGCGGATACACACACACATATAAATACGAAGGAGAGAGCTGCGAGGGGACTCCCACGTAGAATGTGAGAAAGATGCGCATGCGCGGTCGAAGATTGCTACCGATTATCCTATCGCTTGTTTTGATCGTCCTGTTGAGTCTGTGCTACTTTTCCGGCCACTCAAGGGACTCGCCCGTCGACGAGTTCCTGCTGCACTTGCCCCCGGGAACAGAGGAGGATCCCGAAAGCCATCCGCCATCAGCCAATCCTCTTCTGAATCTCACCGATTTCCAGTATCTCATGCACAGCAATGTGTGCCGAAAAGCGGAACGGGAACTCCTAGGTGAGTGGGTCACTAAATATCCCAGGGTTCCTCTGTATTCCAGATAAATCGCCAGAGATCCATTAGTGACTGCATCTCTTTTGAACATCACTAATGATTTTCGATCATCCATCTTTCAGCCATTCTAATCGTAACATCATATGCCGGCCACGATGCTCTGCGATCTGCCCACCGACAGGCCATTCCCCAAAGCAAGCTGGCCGAGATGGGCCTGCAGAGGGTCTTCCTCCTGGCCGCTTTACCCCAACGCGAGCGCTTCATTAGCCAGGAGCAACTGGTCAGCGAACATCAGCGTTTCGGGGACCTGCTCCAGGGTAACTTCGTCGAGGACTATCGCAATCTGAGCTACAAACATGTTATGGGACTGAAGTGGGCCTCCCAGGAGTGTAAGCAGCACGCCAAGTTCATCATTAAGCTGGACGACGACATCATCTACGATGTGTTTCATCTGCGAAGATACCTGGAAGCCCTCGAAGTGGGCCAACCTGAGCTGGCCACCTCCAGCACTCTGCTATCCGGTTACGTGCTGGACGCCAAGCCTCCCATTCGCCTGAGGGCCAACAAGTGGTATGTTACCAAAAAGGAGTATCCACACGCTTTGTATCCCGCCTACTTGTCCGGCTGGCTGTACGTGACCAATGTGCCAACGGCCGAAAGGATTGTGGCCGAGGCGGAGAGGGTCTCGCTGTTTTGGATCGACGACACCTGGCTGACTGGCGTGGTGCGGACCCGCCTGGGGATTCCCCTCGAGCGGCACAACGATTGGTTCTCGGCCAACGCGGAATTCATCGACTGCTGTGTGCGGGATCTCAAGCAGCATGGCTTCGAGTGCGAGTACTCAGTGGGACCTAATGGCGGGGACGACCGACTGCTGGTGGAGTTTCTGCACAACGTTGAGAAGTGCTACTTCGACGAGTGCGTCAAACGGCCGGCGGGCAAGTCGCTCAAGGAGACCTGCGTGGCGGCGGCCAAGTCTCGAGCCCCGGAGCATGGTTTGGCTGAAGTAAAACCACTGCGACTGAGGTGACCTCAGTTCCCGGACGCATCGGGCCCACCTTGAACCAGCTAAGCCACTCAGTAATTAGTATTTAGGGACTTCCACGTGCAAGAGGGCGAAAGAGGTATCCTCCTTAATAGATATCCAGCCTCAACCATCTTATTTTAAGGCATAGCTATAAAATATTGCAATTTCAGATCCTAGAGCTAGACTGTTTTTTCCCCATTTGCTTTGATTTGAATTGATTTGATTTCTATTTGAGACAGTTTTAGTATTTATGACTGCCGAAGTTTGATTAATATTAATTGAAGGGTGTTGATGAATTCATAATAATGTGTAAACAGTAGCATTTTTCAACTCCAACTGAACCGACTCCGTCCTCATCAGTATATTAGATCTTAAGTTTTGTCTTGCGATAAATTATAGATAAAAACTGCATTTATAAAAAACAATAAAGATTTAATTTTTGCAAAAATAGCGTGTATTTTTTCTGCCACTTTTCAGATCAACTTTTCGCTTAGTTATTTAGTAGCATACTTTTTCACTGTCGTTTGATTTTGTTCTTTTTGTTTTTAACGAAGTGTTGGCCTTGCAAAGTATGCAATACTTTTTAACCCACAACTACATATGTATGTGGGCTTTAAGTCTTCCAATTTACATGGATATTTTAATTTGCCACTTGTAATCGAATCGGCGAAACACTTTCACTTTGTCATTATCGTTTCTTTATTATCATAAATAAATTTAAATTAAATAAATGCAATACAATTAAGCACAACTCCACCGATTTGTCATCGATGAAATTACTTTCCTTGTCTCTGCTTCTTCGATCAGTTATCCTTAGTTCCGTTTTGATTGCTTTTGTTTGCTGTTTATTGCGTTCCGTTTAAAATTAAATAAATGTGAGTGCTTGTGGGTGTTTGTTTGTGTGTAAATGAGTGTGGAAGATGGTGAGGTGGTGTGTGTGTGTGATTGAGTGCGAGTGTGTGCGGCTGCAGTCTCTATAGAAGTTACAAAAGGGATCATGGGATCCAATGTCCTGTTTCATTCTCTCCCACTCATCTGTCCTCTCTTTCGCTCTCTCGCTCTCTATATTTGTTCTTTCTGGTCAGGACCTTGTTTCATTTTCATTGTTCCCTTTCGTAACTTTATAGAAAGTACGCGCTCGCAGCTTTTTGCCTTCATTTCTTTTCTTTTTTCTTTTCTCTTACTAATTCGCATACGTGAAATGTGCTCATGCGTGTGTGAGTGTTTGTGTATATTAGGAAATGTTTTTGCGTTTTTTCTTTTTCAAGGGGAATTTGTATCTCACGCTCTAAATCTAAATAAATATAAATAAATAAATTGTATATTAAGTTATTAATTTATATATATATCATTAAAAAAAAAAAAAAAAAATTATACGGTTGTCAGAGAGTAACTGTGAGTGTGAGTGGGAGGGGCTATGCCCGCCTAGGCAAGAGCGAGACAAAGTATAGATTCAAAGCGAGTGTGTGTATGTGTCTATGTGTGTGAGAGAGAGAGTGAGAGAGCGTATGTGTGTGAGTGACAATTTTGTAGTGTATTTTCTTTTTGTTTTCTTTTCTTTCTTGTTTTTTTTTCCTTTTTTTTTCTTTCGTTCTACTGCTTCTTCTTGCTGTTTTAGAGATTCCGCTCGTTCCACTTATGCTACGATCTTGTGGGGCTGCATCCACTTCTTCATGTAGTAACAGAACAAGGTGGAGATGTAGAGCAGGATCATCAGCGCGCAGGTGACCGCGAGGGCCAGCACCGACGTCTTCGTGGGGCAGGGTTCGATAATGGTGACCGTCTTGTCTGTGGCACGAAATGGATTGGAACAATGGCAAGTACAGTTAGTACCGGTAATGCTAGTCGGCTTCTTTCACACACTCTTTATTACCTTTGGCAAAGTCCGTGCTGGGATCTGCCTTGAAGAACTCGCGCTTCTCATCGCCGAAGTCCAGGACCAGAATCTCCTGAGAGATATTCATGTCGTCCTCGCTCTTGGTCTCATTGCTGGATCAAATGGAAATTAAAGCCATGTTGAATATTTTGCTGTTTGAATACTGTTGACTTATCAAATAGGGTCAAAACCCTTCGTGACAAAGAGGATTGTTTAGAGTTTTAGGTCAGACTTGTGCAGTATTCTTGCTGTTTTGATTCTTTCGATATCCTTTTCAAATAACCGCCCCCGCTTTGGTCACCCTTGTTATTGGTTTCCCCTTATCTAAACACAGCACTCACCTTTCGATAGAACGACGACGCCTCCTGCCCAGGGATTCAAATGACTCCATGTTCCATTCGCACACGGCCGGCTCACATGGACCCAAGCAGTACTTGACATTGCACTGGAAGATGACACCGTAGCTCTCCGTGAAGCGGAAGGCCTCGTATGTGGACTGCAGAGCATTGCCGTCGGCAGTGAAGCCGGGGAAGATGGTGGGATCGGTGGGGCAGCCGTCGTCGTCGATGATCTTGAAGCTGGTGCGGGCATCCTTGGCCATGGCCACACAAGAGCGAGCGAAGATGCCATAGGGAGCTGTACGAGTATCCACCAATTAGTAAAGGGTTCTTTTTGAATAGCCTATATGTTTGAAACATACTGTCTTCCGGAATCTCGATGCGGAAGTTGAGTCGGTCGCCAATGCGCACAGTTTCCACCTCGCGCTGTCGGGTGTCCAGAATGCGAATCCTTGGTGGCGGGGCTTCGGGCGAAGAGTTGATGTGGATCATCTCCGGGTCGCGTATGGGCATCATGCCGAAGGTGATGTTCTTGGAGCTCATATCGTACGTGCACTTCACCTTGTAGATCTTGTCGGCCTTAGTCATCACGACGCTGTGGTGCTGCAGAACCACGGTGTTGGAATAGACGCCGGTCTGGAAAAGATGGTAGGATGTTAAAGCAATACAACTACTTGTTTAAGCTGGGAGTATTCAGTGGATTCAACGCTGTTTCCTAAGACCACTCACCACGCTCTGTGTGTTACAATCCTGTCCAGCCATGGTTAAGTCAAGACGGAAGGCATCCGAGTTGATTACATCGATGTTGCAGGTCTCCGAGCGTCCCAAAGCGTAGATACGTCCATTAAATGGCTTGTTAGTGCGGACCTGAACGGCGATCCTGGTATCCTTGCAGTGGACGGAAACTGGGAAAGTAAAGATTATAAATTAGCTTTAATTTTAGCTTAGGCGTAATCGAGAGCAAGACCAACCATCATAGCAAGTGCCAGTCTTGTCACAGTTCACATCGTTGCGAGTCAAGTTGGTCAGATTCGGATCCTCGATGGTGTCCAGGCTGACGGGCAGGGTGTCGATCTTGTCGAGAGTTCCCGGAGGATTTCCAGCTCCCGAGCCGGAGGCCTTCTCGCACTGGTTCTCAAAGTACTGACCAATGGGCTCGCCGTGATCGATGAGGGGGCGTTCGTGGTTCAAGTATGTGGACGGACCATCGGGCAGGGTCTTGTGATCCAAGTGATACAACCGGCAATTGTACTGGGCACCCTGCGGTTGGCCCAAATACAAGAAGGAGCGGCACAGGAACTCGGACTCGATCTCACAGGCCAAACGGCAGGCGGACTCGGAGGTCACCTGGAGCTCCTTGTCGGTATAGTAGTGCAGGCCCACGTACTGGGCAACCTTCTCCTCGGAGACACCCATCTTTTGGGCGTTGCCAAACGAGCGAGTGTTCTTGCAAGCCTGAGCGGGTTTCAGGCAGAGATTCTCAAAGTAGTCCGTACCCTGGGCATCGACCAACTGCACAAACTGGCCGGAGCTGCGTCGATCGGAATCGCTGAGCACACACTTCATGTTGTTGTAGTCGTACTCCACGGAGCGGCAGACAAAGCGCCGCTCGTTGAGGCAAGCGGACAGGCAGGCCTCCTTGGTGCTGGTGTAGATCAGGGCGTTGTCCAGTCCGCGGATCACCTTGTTCGGGACCCTCTCGAAGCTCCACGGACGGTGGCAGACGTTCTCGCTGCGCAGCTGCAGCTTCACCATGTAGTACATGTTGGCGCTCCTTTGCGGAGCTGCCGAGGGATTGGCCGCCGAGGAGTCGTTCTGCAGCTGACAATGGGTCTCCTGCGAGGGCGACAGTGGGTTCACCACGAAACTGAAGGCCGCCGCCTGGCAGTCGGCCTCCTCGCGACACCAGCCTTGGCACTCGTACAGCGACAGGTTCTTCACGCTGTAGTACGTGTTGCCCGGAAAATCAAAGTCCGTCAGCTTCTCGAAGGCCATCCGAGCATCGGTCTGTCCGGGCAGAGCAACCAGGAGGGCCAGCACGACGGAGAGGAGCAACGGACCCATGCGAAGACCCATTTTCGCCGACGATCGGTTGCGATTTCTACTGCTCTCGGCTAATTGCATTGCGATCTGTAACATAATCAGAATGACAACAATAAGACAACGTTTGAAAACAACTTTAATTGAAATAGATCTAATAAATGTGGCTAAATAACAAGGCCCTTAGGTTATGTAAAAGAGAGGATGATGGAATACTTAACAGAAAAGCAAAGCTTTTCTCTCCCAGAAGATAAGTGACGAGTGCTACTTCCTTTCTTCACCTTCCTAGCCAGCAAATCTCCGCCCATTTCGTTCCACTTCTCTAACTGCCAGTGATGACAGCCTACATTTCGAAAAGAGGGGCGGCTGGGGGTTTGGGGAACTAAGTGGAGCGGTTAGTGCCTCCCAGTTGAGGAGATGCAGTGGCCACTACTTCCGCCCTTGGAATGGTGGCCCATTACACGCTTAACTAAGCGCCGATCCAGCGGACCGGCGAACCACCGAACCAATAAAAGCCGAGCCCCGAGAGCTCTCATTCCACGTGTCCAGGCAGACCAGTTCAGACCAGTGGGCCACAGTGGCCGGGGTAAGTCACATCTTCCCACATCCATGTCGTCCGCATCAAAGTCTTTGACTTGCCTGAGACTTTAATGAGCTGTCCGATTGGGGAGTGGGAAGTGGGGAGAGCTACGTTTTATTGACGATCTGCGGTTAGAGTTTCTAATGGCCCACTCCATTCCCGTTCCACAAATCCTATTCCTATGCCCCTATACCAAAGCAATAGCAATAGCATTACCAATACCAATACCAATGGCAATTCCAATCCCAATCTCCGGCAGCGGGGCAAAACAACTTTTTGGCATTCTTGTGGTTTGGTTTCCATTGGAGCAGGCAGCAGCAAATTGCTTTCTGCGGACAGCTCACCCAGCCAAGTAATCCGAACCGAGTAATCCCATCCCATCGCATCGCATCCCAACCAATTGACCCCGGATGGTGCATGGCGGTTCAGGGAGTTGACCTGCAGGTGCAAAAGGAGCCAGTGGAGATGGGGTGGGGGTGGCGTGGTTGTAATGTGGTGCATGCTCATGTGCCAACAAGTGGGTGGTCCCCTGGCAAAAGAAAAGCGAAATCGTATCCAGTTCCTTACGGGTTGGAGTAATCTCTTTTTGGTTATTGGTCTAAAAGGTAACTATACTCATTTGGAATTTGAGTTATGTGAATAATGATAGAATGATTGGTAATATGCTCGTTCTATAAGGTAACTATACGATAATTTGATAAACTTAAAAATCTGTTTTGCCAGCCCAGTTATTTCATTTAATCGCACACCAATTTGGTTAATTATTCAGAATATATCCATTCGTTTGGCCCGAGAGTCTGGATCCATTTGATTCATTCATTCATCCCAGCGAGTCATGGATTATTAAACTGCATGCATTTGCATTCATTTCGCTGTGCCATCTACAAATGGTCAAAGTCTTGCGGAAGCTAATGCCATATATGTTAGCCAGCTGTTGGCCCCGTCTACCATACTTCGAAATTCGTAACTCCCTTTGGTGGCTCTTCAGCTCCAAGCTGCCGCACTACTGACTTATAGAGCGGCATTTAAGTCGAAATTTATGGGTTTTTAAACGCCCCCTATAGGAAGTGGACGGGGGAATCGTAGGAAGATGTCGGCAAAAGGAGTGCAGCAGATCGTTCTAGCCCGAAGCAATTATATTTACATATTCAATTCAATTTGTTTTGCGAAAATTGTCCAGAAGCGAACGGACACAGAACTCAGACTTGGACTTGGACTGCGACTTGTGCACTGCCATTGCAATTATTTCATGCATTTCCCCCCTCATGTTGAACCGCCCTCGCCTGTGATTATAGAGCTCGGAACGTGGCCATTACCAGCGATATTAAACCAGCCCAACACGAGCTGCAAATGGCCAAATGAAAACCAACAAACCGAGCCACACAGCGAAAAAGAGATGATGGATTCAGATATTGACAGAATGAATCTGGCATACTTAAAATATATTATTTAACATTCAAAACGCAGTCTGAATAAATAATTGAATTTCAGCAGCATTTTTAAAGTTGAGAATTCCCCAATATATTTCTTTTAGTGCATAGAGAATCTGGAGTGGGAAATGGCAAACGATACAGCCGGGCTTCGAATTCTCTGCGGGCCAGTGCCAAATGTTGCTGGTTCCCGGCGTGTCCGATTGCAGGGCAACATCAGCAACATCGACAGCGACATCAGCAAGCAACATCAGTGGAAGCAGCAACAGCAACAGCAACAGCAACAGCAATAGCCAAACAGCAACAACATTAAACAGCGACAACAAATGTTCTGTATGCTGTATGAAATAGGTGGCAAAGACAGCGAGGAATGCCCGCTGATGTTGCTGCTGTTGCAACTGCGATCCCCCTCGAAGCGCACGACACTGACAAGAGCAACTGCAACAAGAGCAGCAGCAGCAACTGCTGCAACAGCAACAGCAACCCGCAGCATTGCCGGCAGCAACTCAACGGGAGCCGAACTAAAAATTGTTGTTGCTACAACTGCAACTTGTGTTGGATCTTCAGCAGCAGCAGCAGCAACAGCAGCAACATCTGCGATTGCTCTCGTTTTGCAAGCCGCAGCAAAAAGAAAAAGTAGGGAGGGACAACAGGATTAATGTCCAAAAGTCAGAGCAGACAATGCGACAAAAGTCCGGGTAAATGCCTTAAATTACTCGGCACTGATTTTAAGGAGTTAGCATACTTATAGTTGGGGGTAAGAATAGTAGTATTGAATACAAATTTAGATCCTTATAACAGCTCAATCCGGTGGATCTTCCCATAATGGTAGTGTTTTCTGAGCCTTTCGTGATCTTATCTTGCCATTGGCCTCGAGACTGAATCGTAGGAACTTAATCCAGCCCTCAAGCAAATGAAATGCATTTGAAACGAGGCAGAAGAACACTGGCCACTAACAGAAGCCAATTACAAAGGCAGTGGAGATAGATCTTAGGACCCGGATAAACCCCAGATCGCCCTGGACATCTGTGGTTGTTGACGTCATTGTTCTGCTGCATTGGTCCTCTGGCTTCCTTCCTCCTTTACTGCGGATTCCTCTGCAGAAGAATTGCAACTGCGAAGCGGCCGATTGCCAGCTCACGAATCTCGTTATTTATAGCCGGGTGGCTACTATGGTGCTGGATTTATTTTTGGCCTCCGTTTACGTCCTTGACCATTTCTAATTTGAGGGTCTCATAATTTCTGAGATTTGCCTACTGCAATTATAGAATCTTCAAGGTTCATGAAGGTCACCACCCCGCAATGCCAATTGTTTCTTCACATTTTTCTTGGGCTTTGCTGAGCTGCGAATGGTAATTATATGACCGGGAATCGGAGATCGATGGACTGCAGTGCCTTCTCATCAGCTGGTGGCCATCTCAAATGGTCAATGGTCAGTGGTGCCACGCCTCCCTTAGCCCCCGCCCCTTGGTTCGCTCTTCTGACTTTTTTTTTTTCTTTCTTTTGGTCAATTCTTGTGGCCAGTGGCGCGTACTTGGATTTAAGTTGGCTACCCGGTAATCAAGAAAATTTGCAGTTACGACAGGGAGCGCGTTGGGAAGACAGAGGAACGGGGGGAAGCGAACGAAACGGAATCGAAACGAATAGGTTTTAAGGAACAGAGAGAGAGAGAGAGAGCGGTGAGGGGGGGAAGAGAGAGCAGTGGAGAATCAGAAGAGGGGTCTTCAAAAGGTTATCATTAGGCACGCTTACTTCTGCCATCTTCTGCTGCCCATGCCCATTCTCGTTCTTGTTTTGGACCTCTAATTACGCCAAAGAGAAAAGCCAGAGAACGGCAATTGCATCATAAGCAGATATAGAAGCTCATATATGAATAGCGAAAAGAAACGAAGAATGGTCCCTGATCACATCATTAGAGAGTGAAGGGGAAGCCCGTGCATGATGAAAGGTCAAAAAGGGGGCTTGGTCTTCTAATGACAATGCCCAGTGAAAGTAGCTTAGTTAATTAGATAGCAACGTAGAGATTTCAATTTCTTTAAGAGCTTTAGCTCTAATAGCCACAGTCACAGTCACAGTCGCAGTCGCAGTCACAGTGAGAGAAAGTCACGGCATAACCAATTATATGGAGATGAGCAGGAAACACTAAATGCCAAATAATTGGTCATGCCAAATGCAATGCGATTTGCCTGTCAATCAAAGAATTTTTCATATCATATACGGGATCAAAGAAGGAGCTCGGGTTGAGTTGAGATCCTCAGCCATTCACTTTGCGCACGATGCTAAAATAACCTCTGGAGTGCACACGATTTCTGGTTTTTACCTCAGTCACAGTCACTGTCAATAGCAAACGCTCATCAGCTGAACACCTTGCATTTTTAGGGCGTAAATGATACACTGAGATCTGGATTCTTCTTACTATCTTTAATATCATTACGACTGTATATTTTTAAATAGATTAAAGGTCAAATTGAATAGTGGGGAACCCTGTACCTTTAGACTGAAAGCTGCTATTTGAAGTTCTTTCCTCGTTATGAGTGTGAACGGATGTCAGCTCGTCTGTCTGTTGGCCATGTCTTTTGGTGTTTGCCTGTCCACTCGATCAATTGGCGCAAAAGGAAATGGGAAACAGCAAATATACACACTGGCCCAGGAGAAACCTTTTCATTTAATGCAATTTGTTGCTGTTGTTGTCACAACACGCGAATGTGATGGTTACACAGCAGAAAAACGGACAATTATGCGGTAAATACATAAATAAAATGCATTATAATGTTATGTTACAAAAGCACATAAAAATTGAGAAAAAACATAGCTTTCTGTTTGAAAACAGCACCTAAGGTCATCCCACTACACCCTTTTTTTTGCTCAGTGCAATGGAAAAGGAAAAGGACAGGGACAGAACACACTCAATCACTTAGCTGGTGGCAAAAGACCCCTTGTTCCTCGCCTTGCTCTCGTACTGCCAAGCCAGCACCTCTGCCTCTCGCGCTGCATTTTGCAATTATGTAATTTTCAATCATCGCCGGCTTAAAGATGCGCACTGCGAAAACGTGCAGCCGACCAAAGTTGAAGCACCTGCC